AAGGTCCACTTATATGAAAGGAGATGTGAATGGCTGGGGTAAAGAACATCAAGGTAGACAGAAGGAGAGGGACAGCCAGAGACATCAGGACTAATTATACTGTAAGTGAGAGAAAAAAGGGAGGAAAGGGTGACAGTGACACAGAAAAAGGGAATAGAAAAAAGACAGACAGAGGTCTCTCTCTTTTGACGCTGGCTAAGCTTCTGGCCCAGTTCTGTGACACAGTCGATGTAGAATCTTCTGGTTGTAAAGTGACATTGGGGAATACAAAAGAAAGCGTGCTTCCGTTTTTTTCTTCCCTTAGTAAAACAAACCGCTGTCTCTCTTTCAGTGCTCCCCCCATCCTCCTACTCCTCTGATATTCCTTTAGTCTCAGATAGCAGCACCGCACTTCATTTCCCACTCTCTGTTGTGCACACAATCATCCTCTCACTCTCTCTTCCTCTGATGAACAAACAAAAATACAGACATACAAGCGCGCACTTCCTCTTCTCTGCCAGTGTGTGTCTCATGTATCCTCTGGCTGCCTGCGGTGTCCGTTGGGATGCTAGTGCCTGTTAAGCATGCAGACAGGCCGCTGTGTTGTGAGGCCATGCAGTTTCCAGTGATCGTCTACATGGAAAGTTAGCCTTACTTTACATTGTTTTATTTCTATCTATCCAGTAAATTGGAAGCACGATATCCATCAGTATTTTGACGCCATGGAATATCTATAATATGAACAAGCCATGAACAAAAACACTTGTTCCACATTCTGTAAATGTCACACAAATACCATAACAAAAGCTACACTATAGTAAATGACAGATTACAAATGTTTAACCACATTATGCAGTAGTCATAGCTGTGAACAACAAAAAAGATGTCCACCAATTAATGGCACTCTGCTCCTGCTACTGACTAGAACTACATCAGTAACTCTACATCCATGTCGCATCATAACTAATCTGGGTTCCAGTCAATGAACAGTTGCTCTATTTGCTGGTTGCACTTGTAATGCCATGGGAATAGTGATTATGCATGAGGAGAGGAAGCTGCTAAAAACATCTGCTGGCTGCTCTCACGTCTTTCATTTGATGTCCCCATCTCTCTGCTGGCAATGCTATTAGAACCTGTATGCAAATCTAATGTTTGAAGGCAATGCATTAACTATCAGACATTCATCAAGACTCCCATAGAACATCCGCCTCTACCTGATCTGCACTTGCTCTGCTGCTCTCTGCAATACACACACACACGCAAAGTGATTGATTGACTTTGAAATATTGTAATGACAGTAATGGGTAGGAACATAATAACACAGGCGCCAGTGGTTTTAGTTTCTGTTCAAAGTGCTCTCAATAGACTTGTGGCTGGTATTTCTAGTTGTCAAAGCTAAAAGTTATCCCAAAATCAATACTCACAGACCATACAGCACAATGAAGAATGAGAGTTTCTTATTTAAAGTATGAATTGTGCTTGGATTGCTTTAACTGCTAGATTTATGCGGACTTGTATTTCATCGCACAATTATATATATATATATATTTGACCTACTTCCACAATGTGTTCTATTTTAGTGCAGTGTATCAGATACATATATCATTTCCACCACAAGACACCCTGACATTCCATCTTTGTCTTTTCCCTACGCCTTTCTGCATTTGCCCTTTGCCTCCCAGAGGACGATGGTCATCAGTGCTGAACTCGACAAGATGTCTGTGACAGTAGATCAGTATGTCAAATGGAGGGAGGATGTGAGTGAGGGATCCCTTGCTCCTTCTACAAACCAATACGTGCATTGGGCGGGGTACAATGTGTGTGAATTGTGGGGAGAGAGTTGCAGTGATGAGAGGTCAAGGCGTGTGTCCTTGCCTGCCTATCATCTGTGCTCTGTAGAGATTAGCCACTCTCTTGGAGCAGTACTGCCAGATGCCACCAAGGGGAGCTCTGAAGCTGTGATCATCTGTTAGGAATACAGCATGTCTCCCCCCTCCTCCCCCTTCTCTTCTCTCTCTTGGCGGAGAGTCCCTATCACCTCACCTAATTCTGTCTGCTTCATTTTATCCTACACAAAGCTGACAAATTCATAGGTTTTGTGGAGAAAGGATGGAAAATATACACACAGAGAGAGAGGGGAGAGAGTGGGTGAGGGAGACTGGCTGGCGAGAGCTCACAGGCTTTACTTATTTTGGAGCTTACTGATGCAGCTGTAGATATGTATGACGTTGCAAGACCCATTAAGAACAACAGACAGAGAGTGGATGAGACTGTTGAGACCACTACGATAGCCGCAGCTGGAATCTAACGCTCGTCTTTTAGATGGCGGGGTACTTGTAATGCAAGATATCATGTTAGCTCCAGTGGGAAGACCAGCGGAAAACAAGAATGGTGTGTTTGTGTGGATGGACTTGCATAGCATTTGTAAATTAGATAATTAATAGTACACTGAAAACAGAATGTGGACAAATTGTTAGCAAAGTACGATACAATTGAATTTAGCAGCCTAGCATTATATACATTCTTTGCCCAGCTTATATTGGTTAGTTTTGGTTAGACTGACATGGAAGTGTACATTTTAATGCAAGGTGTTTTCAAAGGCGACGTTTGTACGTTTTGACTCTTTGCAGTCATTCAACAAAATACATTTTTTGCATAAAATGCACAGAGTATAAATTATGTAAAATATGATATGCATCTCTTGATTATGTAAAACAAATACAGAAACAAACTATTGTTCTTTAGTCTAGATATGATTGACCTTTGTCATAAAGCATGAGGCTTACGGTGCCTTGCTAATGTAATAGACACTATTTGCAGCTTTTAGAATATCATGTTACAGAGAAATATATTGTGTTCAATGTTTTCAATGTAAATTAAAGTTTAGAAATGTGCAGTAATGTACACATGCAGTAAACATTTATTTTGCACCAGCATACAGTTTGAATGATGATCCAAACAGTGTTGTCTAATTTTAAGTGTTATTGATCGTTGTTAAAATATGTAACATCTTGCACCCCTGGTGACACTAAATAATACCAATAACAAGCATTTTCTATTAAGATTTTTTAACCATAAATGTACTTATATAAATATATATAAAACCAAAAAGAGACTTACAGTCATTTATTTTACTGTCTAAAAGACGATACACTTATTTAGTGAATGCACTTAAATGCCTTGGCGTGAAGCATGCACGTATTTATTGATCAGCTAGGTATCAGCGCGGCAGTAAACACAGGGTCAGAGGTGGTCAATATCATCGATACCCCCGTCCTTTTGCCTCTCGGTGGGGATGGCCTGGTGTAAATCTAGAGAGCTCTTTAACACTTAGGCCACCTGTTATGTCAATTACAGTGATCCACTGAGGATTCAAGCTATTATGCGAGTTAATGGAGATTGCTGGGAAGCTCAAACCGTAGTTAGTTCTAGTTCAAGGCATGGACTGAGTGCTGGCGCTATATATCTACTCAGCTACATTAGGTTTTCATATGAAGATCGAGGACAAAGTGAGATTAACATAACACTACAGGATGTGCCTGCTGTTTTTATGTGAGCAACAGGTGCTTGTATGTAAGCTCTAAACAATACACGTCATAGACACAATTATGTTCAAAGCTGTATTTAATCAAAAAGGATAGGAATCATTTAGTTAAAAATGTATAGGTATATGATGGGTAGACAGACAAGGCAGATAATAGTGTCTCAATGTACGTGCATGTGTTACTTATTGTGCTAATGCTGCAGTTGGTAGGTGGGTTGGCTCCTGCTGTAAATCTTTAAAACTGTGTTGGCCTCCCAAACTCATTAAGCTAGTCTCACTCCGCTGATCACACCGAGCTCTAAAGCATAACATGTTGATCCCTGTGATGCTGCATTCAGTTACCACACTGAAATATCTCATATTATTGCATTATGATAGACATTCTGATGTCTAGTTGGCATGGACATTTCACCCTATAATTTAACAGCACTTAGTTCACATTAAAAACCACTTTGTATTCCTTCTTTAGTCTCTTAAGCTCCAACAGTTTGAAAAGCCCCCACCCCCATCCTCTTTCTTAGGATGTTTTTGCAGGCTCACACAAAGAAGTTAAACTTTGTGTTAATGCATTCACATCAGGCCCTTTTGAATTTGCTGCAACTTACAATTTGTGTTATTAGGTCTGACAAGCCATTCATTCCAATTAGAATTACTACAAAAAATGTGATAAGTAAGCACGGCAAGTGTAAGTGAAATTGATTGTATCTCACTGCTGGTATCTGCAACTGCCAATTGATGACCTGGTGCATCCAAAGAGTCTCAAACATGCCGAGTGTGTACTGTATGTGTGTACTTAGTAAGTGTATACAATTAAACTTGGAAGAAGCAGAGGAACACTGCAAGTCACACACAGACATGCAGGTTGCTGGGGCTCTTTGGTTTTCCATTAGCTAAAGGTCTGTGAAGATGTGTTAGGTAATTTGTTCAGAAAGGGTGTAAGTGCATTGTCACCTTTGATATATTAGGGTGCATTCCATTTGTGTAGCTGAGTACATTATGTGCATACATACTGAGGAGAGCACATTCCCCACTTGCTCATTAATAACAATACAAAACAACGTCCTGGGTAAAATGTGCAGATTTGTCTTTGATCGCAACATGATGCATATTTACTCACTCTGATTGGGATTTTAGTATCATTTTCACTTGCACTGTGTTGTATCTTCAATTATTTGCTTTTGAGTGACCTTTGGAATTGAAAGTGAGATAGATCTTTGGTTATTTTATAGAATAACATGAAGCCAATTAAAGACAGACATAAACAGCACCAGCTTTCTGTTCAACATCAACCTGGAAACAGAAAAATGTTGTGTTAAGATGGCTAGCAATCAAAGAAGAAGAAAGATGAGACCAGCACTCCCTGTGAGAGAGAAAAGAGAGTAAAGAAGAGTCAAATGAAGCAGCAAAGATAAGTTGTGTGGCGGACAGAGGCACCACTCCAACTGCGGTGGCCCTGGATTACACGGGCAGTGTTTACCTGGCGCAGGTTGCGGGTGACGCGCACATCGTGCCAGGTGTTGTCGTTGAACTTGCCGTTGACGGGCTCCACCAGGGCCTCGAACGCCCCCGAGCCCAGGTTGATGACCAGCCAAACGGCGCCGCTCTTCAGGGACAGGTTCACGTAGTCTGCCGATTTGCCGGTGTGCAGCATGAGGCCGTTGCGCTGCAGCGTGCGGAAGGACAGCGTGATCTCGTCGGTGCTGCTCTGGATGGGCGTCAGCGACAGGTCGTAGCAGAAGAACTCGTTGCCCTTGAAGGTGGCTACTGACTCTTCCTTACCTGGAGAAAAAAGAAGAGAGGAAGAAAAGGAAAGGTAAGTAAAACTCTATGAATGCAGGATTAGAGCAATATTATGTCTTGTTGTGTTAAAAAGCCATATTCCAGCTATTAAAAGCCAAATAGGGTCTCTGAGCAGATTAACTTCTGAACACTGGTATTGCTCACAGGATCTCATGGGTCACATATTTTGAGATGAAACCGATTAGCTGTGGTTATTAATTCCAGTGTTACAACATGAATTGTTGCTACGGCTCTAATGCTTGCAAGAAATGTTCGCATCATGAGAAATTCACAGGGCAAAAATAACACTTCTTTCACTTAACAAATACATGACAGGCACAGAATAGAACCGTACGAGAGCTCCTGAGATGGTATGAGAGAAAACAGAGAGCAAATAACAGGGGGATCATGAACGTCCAACAGAAAGGGAAGAATAGGTGTTGACAACTTTGCTAATGCCTGTCAGTCTGTCTGCAGCATATGGCCTCTTTCCACTGCAGGGAGCGTCTTCACATACTACCAGTCAAAACAGCGAGTTCGTACAATGGACATGTGTCAAACAGAAGCCTAACAGCAGCAGGGGAGGACACAGTGCATCAGTCAGGAACCGAAGGAACACCTGCCGCTGTCACAACATGAAGTACCACTGCAACAAAATCACAGCAGGGACACCTCAATCACAGGAGTGTGAACACTGGAGCCACTGAGCATGAGATGAGCTTTTATCTAGTTATCCTTATTGTTTCCTATAATAACATTTACATACAGTGTATTATGTATTGTTTTTATTTTATTATTTGGATCATATCATATATTTCCCCATGTCTTGTACAATAGTAATGACCCCCAATGTTATATCGATTTATATAAAATAATACAAAGAGTGGTTACAACAAATGCTGAAATAGTTGGTACAGATGCCCATAAGAATGGCATATCTCAACTCTTGAATAACTCTTCAACACTCATCATTCATTTCCAACATGAACTGTGATATGAAGTGAAACTCTACTTCCTGTGTTCATTTGCCCCTGCGCACCTCTGTTTCCCTGGGGGGCCAGATTGAAGATCCTGCCTCAGGTAATGAGGTTTAGGGCTGAATCAGGAAGGAGAGGGGGTCAACTCAAACCACCAATAGGGTGGATCATCAAATCTAGTTTATCCTGAAGTTCCATTACAGGAGGATAGCTCCTAGACCTCAGTGCATTTCCCCGGGGAGGGAGGCTGGAGCTGGAGGGGTGGGTGGGGGGGCTTGGGGGGCTGGTCAGCTGGCAGACAGATTGAAAGCCAAATTTCATGAGCGAGTGAGTTTGCCATAGGAGCAATCTGAGGTGAGAGGATAGTGGAGATGGATAATAGTGTGTCCATGTCATAGCTGTGCACTTTGTACTGAGATATGCCCATGGAAAGGTCAAGGTGTGGTAGCCTACATGAGGAAAAGTTGATTACACTATTTTATTAACGCCAAGAAATGGAAAAACTGCTGCCTGGAAGTCACAAGAAAAGGTAAAGCCAAAGGAAAAGTGAGAGGCAGAAGAGTGCTTTGTTAAATGACACACTAACTGCTATACTTCTGGAACATTAAAGGGAGTGGTGTAGCTCCCTTTGAGGAAAACGTAGACACATAATATGGGTGCATGCACTTGTATAAAAGAAAAAACATTTCACATGTAGAGGAAAAAAGAGGAAGTGAGGGACGAAATGAGACAGCTACTTAAAAGAGCATTTTGGCTGAAATTGACATTTAGAGCAATCTCAACTGAAGTGTGAATTGTTATCGAAAAAAGGCATCAAAGGAGGAAGAGGAAAGAGATGAAGAGGAAAAATGAGACGGAGGAAGACAAAGCAAATCCCCAAAGAGCAGCCTTCTGGCGGTGCCTGCGATGCTGATGTAGGAAGAACAAAAGCGTGGCAAATGGACCACAGCAACCATTTTCAATTATGTATTAAGTTGGACCCCCCTCCCAAAGTATGGGCTGTTTAACGGTAAGCAACAAACAGCTTGTGATTGCTTCCATGGGCTCAGCGCGATGGAGCCGCATGCAAAGAAACTTTCTTTTGTTTACGTCTGTTTAATGAATAGAAGGCTGAGAGGAGGAGATAAAGCTGGAGGGGATCAGGGAGTGTTGCACGCGGCAGTCTGGTCACGATGCCAACAATGTTCCTTCATAAATTCTTCATTCTTTATATGATTTTTGAACTTAAATGTAGGAGGTACGAAAACTAATTGACAAGCCAGGAATGTAATAATGTGTTATCCAACATTTGGGTTAGGTCATTCCCTGTATCTCTTTTGCCCAGGAAGTCACTACTGCTCTTCCACACTGGAAAGGCCTTTCTTCTAGTTTCCCAGGAGAGAAAATAGGATCACTGCAGCCTCGACTTTCAAGAAACGTGAATTAATGCAAGAAATGCTTCTTTTCTTTCCTTCTCTGAACACACTTAAGCTCTGTTGAATATGCTCTCATTGCTGTACATCCGTTTCTCCTTTTACATCTACTTTGCATCTCCATCTCATCCTCTCGCTCCCGTGGTAGCACTTTTGTGATTACCGGCACATACACACTTGGACTATCCTTGTGCGCTTTTCACTCAGATCAAATCTCTATCCATAGAAGCCCGAGAGTCGACGCTGTAGCCAGAGGTAAGACAAGACACACACGCACGCAGCAGAGACTTAAGTGCTGTCAAGGTCTCAATTAACCTCACAGAAGGCCCTGACTACATTACAGAAATGACTCATTTGAAATGTAGCCACCCGTAATAGCATCTCTATTATTAATTAGATGTTCAGCTCCTCTGGAATTTGATTTCATTGCAGTTAGTAGCCAGATATGAAGGTAGATATGGTGCAAAATGCGAGAGCGTGTAAAACCTGATGTGAGCACTTGCAGAAAAGAAATCTGAGCTTGTGTGCATACATTTACACTTGTATAAAAATATCCACGTATCTGTGAACCACATTTGAAGTCACAGAAGAAAAACAAAAGTTGTGTAGCTTGTAGAAAAAAAATGAACTTAGTGATGAAATGTTCACTTGCAGAAAAATATATATTTTTAAAATATATTTTCCATTACAACTGCAACTTGGTTATTACAACCTCTCAAATCAGTCATTACAACTTCACGAATCTGCTCTGTGGCAGTATAAATCGACGAATCTGCGGCCTTGACTTTTGCTACACTTCTTGCGATGAATGTGTTGCTAAAGTAATTTTCACCTGTAGATGTGGGGGGAGGAACATGGGGAGAAAGAGGGGTTGGAGCGAAGGGGCGGGGCTATCAGAACGATGAGGCGCAAGCTCGGGTCAGTCACACAGCCATGTCAGGTCGAACCGGATGACTGCGGGGCCCCGCATGTTGCCCCTTTCACACCAACGCGGTTCCAGGGCCGGTTCGGAGCTTGTGCCTCTAGACCAGGGCCCCTGGTCTAGAGGCAAGAACCGCATACGTCACGCTTACGTCGGAGGGGGGCGAGATTAACCTGAACTAACAGTTTATGGAGACTCTCCATAAACTGAGTGATCCAACCATCATGTGATTCATGACTAATCACTCAGTAATGAAGTGCTTATCATTCGTCCGAATGTATCCGCCAGCTGTATTCCATGACGCAAGCACTCCAGGCTGCTTCTCCTATGCGTCACATTTAGAAGTTCAGTGGCTTCCAAAATGTGAATACACAAGACAGAAATGTAAACCCAGACTAACTTATTCTGCTGATACAAACAGTATTGTTGGAGGTCCTGCTGGCTTGGATGGATGAGGGTTTAAGCAGCCATATAGTGGCACTGTTAGCGCAGCTCTTTTTGAAATATCTAAACATAAACCCCAGCTTTGAAGTGTTGCTCTCTAGCTGACATCTGATTTTGCTTGAAGAAAACATTAAGATTGTTACCAAAGCATCAGTACAACATCACCCCTTTCTTTTCCAGGCACTCAAAAGTCTGATCCGACTCCCTATCCATCTCAGATCTGGCTTTAAGGTACTTCTGATGCCTTACAAAAGTGTCAATTGGCACACCATTTCATACCCATGTGATCTCCTTAAACTTGATATTCCAGCTGTGCTCTCTGATCTAAGAATACAGGGCTCCTGCCTGTCCCCAGAGTTAAAAAGAAAAAGCAAGATGCCTTCCCCATGGTGCACTCTTTCTTTGAAATATCCTACCTTGTTGATATCAGACTCTGCTGAGGCCCCTTAAAGCCACACTTTAATCTCATATGTACACTTTCAGTTGCTTCTTCTTTGATTGCATCAGGCCTTAAACCTGTTTCATGTTATTTGGTATAATGTGCCTTATACTACTATCATTCAGGCAGGAATACATCAAACCTTGTAATAATAGACTATGTTTATCCGGACAATAAGTATATTCCGAGCTGTGTGCATATCTCACTTTAAGTTTACGCCTAATGTCCCCTCTTCGACTCATGCTTCTCTATGCTTGGCCATCATCCACACTGACTTGTTCCAGATGTTTCCATCAGTATTCTTATCCTCAGGATGCATCCCCTACTCTTGTGTCCGTTAGCGACACCTGAAGTTTCTTTCTGACCCTTTGCCTATATAAGTTTCACAACATTGCTTTGATAGCCTCAACTGCTAACTCTGTCACAATAATGCTCTCATCAAAAGCTAAGCACTTGCCGCATTTGTCATGTCAAGCAGAAAGTACTGTGCAGCCCCTGGTGTTCATTATTCTCCAAGTGTGAGGGGGAGGAGAAAGGGAGGAAGAGGACGGAGCTTCAACCCAAGCGTGATCAATGTCATTATTAACTTGGACCAGTCTATAGTTGAATATTAACTTTAGCTTTACTGGGAGCCTTAAGCATCAGTATGTGACAATAGGTAAGCTATCTAGCTCGCATGCAACTGCAATGAATTGTGATATATTGTTATTAATAACAAGTGTCCCCACTCTGGAAAAACACAGCTTCATAAATGGTGATATACAGTAGTGTCATGTGAACACAATTACAATACTTGTTTGTCAATG